TACAGATTAATGGATTTGCAAAATAATCTAATTAGTTGCAGCTCTAGTTTTAAATTTGATCAATTTGACCAATACAAAAAAAATGTGTTTGACTGCAGAGCCAATAATGATAATCTAAAACATGTTTCAACATAAGAATTTTTTAAAACCAGGTGAATAAATCCAAACAAAATTCAAGTTATTCTATATCATTAACAACCAAAAATTTATTTCATACAGAAAATTAATCATTTATTCCCGTTAATATTACTTAACACTTAAAGAGTCATGTAATGCCTCCCTGAAACATGATGTACATACATCATGTTTTAGTGAGGCATTACATGGCAATTAAATTACACTTTTAAACTCACTTCTCCAATGACATCAATGAGCAGCTTCAGGGCGACTGGATCATGAACCAGTGAGTCAGTGTAGAAAGAGCTGAGGTATTTACGTGGACTGATTGCGTTATCAACTGCACACAGGTCAGGGCGAACTTTGTGGCCGTGTTCAATTCTGCCAACAGTAAATGGGAACGAGCCCCCTATGGGCAAACAAAAAAAGTCACCAAGGTGGAACTAGAGCACAGAGATGCTATTTGAAATACTTTAAGTACTGTTTTTAACTATCTTATGCAGCAGTAAAATAAATCTTGAATATAAAACTCAAATGCTTAAAGTCTAGTGATTTACCTCCATGAGCGAAGCAGACTTTCAGTTTTGGAAATCTCTCAAAGATCCCTCCAAATATCATTGAACAAATAGCCATGGTTGTCTCTGTTGGCATGCCTTTCAAACAGATGAGAAGTAATTTAACATTAAAACACACAGGTTCTGCAACAGTATTTTCACTGCTGCCAACAGACGGTTGAACTGTCAAACTCTAAACTGGACTCTGCATCACACTTGCAACATTATTTTGCACCACAAACGTCGGTGAAACTTTTATAATCCTTTTAAATAGGACACAACCCAATGTTATGCTGCATTTTGCACAATATTTATCTTGCACTGCACTGAACCTTTCCACATTAATGCACTTTTGCACCATTATTTTTCAAACTGGTTTACTTAATAATCTTTTTTATTTCTGTATTTTTTATTTTATTTTTTTCCTGCTTGCTTTGATTCTGTTTTATTTTCCTATATTTTAATCATGTAAAGCACTTTGCATTGTCTTTGTACTGAATTGTGCTATACAAATAAAATTGTCTTGCCTTGCCTTTTCTCCCACACTGTTCACATGCTGATCTCCGCTGCACTTTGTAATGGTAATGCTGTAAGCAACGTAACTTTGCTTTGTAAACACTTGATGTATTGATAATGACAATAAAGTTTGTCTAAGTCTAATGATTTCCAGTATTCAATTTACTACAGAAAATAGAGCTGCCATTTTTCTGTTGTTTTGGATTGTTTCACATTGGTAATCGAACAGCATCTCCTGTTTCTACTTCAGCTCCCTCACCCACCAGCCAGGGAAGCCAATACTTAGCCATCCTCCCATCTGTCTGCATGTCCCATGGGTGGACAAATATGGAACATCCCAGCTCCTCTGCTGCCTGCATGCAAGACACGTAGTGCAAGATCAGTAATGATGCTGCAAAAAAGGGAAGCTGCAAGCTCAAAGAAACTTAAGAAATATAACTAATAAATCATCCAATACTGTTATATCATTATTATGTAAATGCATGCTGATGTTGTCTGAGCTCTTACAGCATAAAAGGGAAGAAGTTCAGAGGCGTTGAGGTCCCACTGGTTGATGTGTGAACCGATCTGCACTCCAGGGAACCCGAGCTCCTTTACACAGCGCCTCATTTCCAGCACAGCCAAGTCAGGGGCTTGCATGGGCAGCGTGCCCAGGCCCACAAACCTCTTAGGGTGACTGTGCACCGTTTGGGCCAAATTGTCATTTAAAAGGACACAAAGATCCAGCGTGTCATGAGGTTTGGCCTGAAATCAAAAATTTTGTTGAAAGTGGGAGAAAGTGAAATAAAACAGGAGTTTACAGCGAGTTTTAAAAGTATTGAAAGTACTGAAGATTTATCACCCTATTTTTACATTACTTTACCTCACTTTTTTATTTAGTTATAATCATATATGGTAATCAATAATCACGATACTCTAAAGTGAAGGAGAAATAATTCATGATAAAGTTCAATATTTTATGTGTTTGGAAAAAAATCTCACTCTATATCGTCCTCCATAAATTCATATACTTAGTAAAACATGCTTCATGCTGCATGGATGTTTTGCTTAAAAAAATAGTTAGAGACTACAAAACAGGTTGCATTATATATTATGAAATCTTGTGATATATAACTACTTGTTTTCTTCCCCTCTCTTTCTCACCTGTGCTTCCTATAGTCGGTTTCCTTTAGCATATCTGGAAATGTTATCTCTCTATTACTGAGTGTCTCATGGCAGTTACAGAAATATTATACAAATATTTACAATATATTGTGCTGCGCTGATATAAAACATCTGAGACTTAAATAGATGTTTACCTTCTAGAAAGTACCTCCTAAGTAATACAACTGGAGCTACAATGAAATGGATGGCCAAATAGTGAGCACAAACATTTTAAATATCAAATATCACCTTCTTTAGAGTCATTTGTAAAAAAAAAAAAAAAAAATCTTTTTAACAGAACTTGGAGTTTTACCAATTTGATTTATATCTATATAAATTTGATTTATATCTATAAAAATTTGATTCAATCTATATAAATCAAATAAGGCAAATCCGTTAATGCTGCATGACTTGTCGAATGATACCATTAAATAAGGCATCACATTTTTACACAGAATCTAACATTTCTAATTTTTTGGTGAAATATTTATTCTAAACTTTGCACTTGAACACAATTAGGTTGGGTTAAATGCCTCCTGATTAGAGGTCTGGCTTTAGAGAATCACACAAATCAATTCAGTGCATTTCAATAAACAGGATTAAGTGCTGTTGTAATTTAAATAATTGGGATTTCTAGATTTGTTAGATTATCCAGCAGAACTTATTCCAGTTAGCTACTTTCACTGCTTGGACTTTTAGAAGATACTAATGCTCCTCTTAAAAGGACGTTATCTTTGAAGCTAAGAGGAATTGACTTGAACAACTATTTTGTCTTTTGGTATTTATTACTTCTACAACACGAATATAAAAAATGGTAATAACAATATTTCTAAAAATATATCAAAATTGGTCATTTTAACAGAATTTGGAAACTGTCTAGATAAAAGCATATGGATGAGATTGACCCAGGCAAAGTCTAGATCTTCATGCAAATAGGAGTCTATATAAGAACTTTAAAACTGCTATTCATAGATGCCTCCTATTCACATTCATTTTTACCTATTTTTGCAAAGAACTAGCAATTATTTCTCCTTCTTGATATACAAAACTGGTTTAAACATAGCACATAGCTGTGCAGCTGAGATTGCAACAAAAAACTGTTCAAGGAGAGTTTTCCGGAGGTTCCAAAACAGAAACTTTAAAAAGTTGACATGTATCATTTTTCTTCTACTTGGTTTTGATGTACTATGCCTACTTTGTTTTCATTTGTCACTGTTGTAATTGAAATAAACAAGTCTGTTCTTTTACTGCAAACACTTTATAATGCATGGATTCTTTTGGAATGCGTTTGATGGGGTGTTATGCAATCTGCTTCTGTTCTTCTATGAATATTCAAAGGTGTTTGGTTAACAAACAAATCACAAGAAACTATTTGTAATAAAATTGCAGGAAAAACTGACCCAATAACTGAACATCACAGGAACCGTCGACAGGGCCTGAACGGTAACCCCTGCAAATAATAAAATGAAATGCTATTCTCAGGAAAGATAAAGATGGAACAGCAAAAACTGCTGGCTCATTGACTCTGAGTACACACTGTACTTGTCCATGTCACGGAGTCTAGCGTTTACATCCCAGCAGTTGTCCTGGATCACCCTGAACAGCTTCCCATCCCTCATCATCTTTGCTTCACCCTGAAAAGGAGCAAAAGCAGCAGTATCACCTTGATGCTTTTCTGGGAAATTATATAAACTGTCATTTTTATTGTAGAAAAGTATGATATACAGTGCAGAGTTTTAAAAGGCCAGCATTAAAAACATTAAAGTGTGTCCACATGATGGCAGCAGTCAGTTCATCCTTAAATTCGTCCCTCTCTAAGTGAGTCTGTGTCTCTGTGAAAAAGGGCTTTAAATTCCTCTTCTAAATACACTAAAGAAAATGTGAATCAGAAAGGTTTTACACAATTGAAAATGTATACTTGATCTTTATACTTAATCATATTGGACTTCCAATTCATGCACCAGGTTAAGGTGTTTCAGTTTATGCTAAAAGGGAATCAGTCTTGATGCAGTGGCATCATGCTGTGGTCTGGCCAGCATGAGGGATACTTATGCTGGGGAGCTGCCAGCATGATCCGACTCTGAGCTCAACAAAAATAAAAAGTTAAAAACATAGTCCTGTGCACTTGTTTCAACTGTCTTCAAAGAATATAAATAATTACCTCGCAGTGATGGTGTAGTTGGACAAACCCATCATAACCATATCTCTGCAGACATGAAAACATATGATTACAGACAATCATACAGTTAGAAAACACTTTAAAACATGCAGCCTCAGTGATCGGGTTTCATCCACTTATTATGGACTTGAATATCTGAGATGAACTGGCTGAAAAGGTTTGTATTTATGTAGGAATTCTCCTGTTCACACTAGTTAAAGTGTGTGACATATGCTTGACCATGTCTAGTATTTAATTAAATATCTCTTGGCATGTTGCATCTTAGCCACTCACATTTTTTTTAACCATCAACCTGTTCCGGCAGAAAGAAGCAGAAAAGCTTTCATTTGAGAAGACAACTTTTATACATCCATCCATCTTATTCCTGTGGAAGGAGTACCCAGAAAACCCACAGATGTATGGGGAGAACTTGCAAACTCCATGCAGAAAGACCCCAGGCTGGGAATAAAACCTGGGACCTTCTGGCTGCTATGCAACAGTGCTGCACACTGCACCATCGTGCAGCCAACATTCATTTAAGAAATAAGGTTAATGTCTGGATTGATTATTAAGCCACTGTTACCCTTCTGTGTCCATGCTGTGTGTGTGTTGGGTCAAGTTTCAATTTGATTCAGTTTGATTTGGTTCTCAACCAAACCAGTTCAGTGCAGTTTTGTTCAGTTCACTAAGTTTAAATTTGGTTTGGTTTAGTTCAGTTTAACTCAATTAAATGCGATTCAATTCAATTCATATTAAATGTTGTAGTAATTAATACGTTTTTTTTGTTTTGTTTTGTTTTTACATATTATTGTATATGTTGATAACTGTAGGCAGGGTTGATCTTATGTTGCAGTGTGTCTTACACCGAATCTGGAGAGCACTTTCGCTCAGGACAATCTGATGTTGTTTGTGCTTTTAATGTAAAGTGTACCGTAGGTACGTGTGTCTCGCAAATAAAAAAAAATCATAATTGAGAGATTTAGAAATGACCAAAGAGACCACAGCCACCCAAACTTGTCATTAAGTGGAGTAAAGCTGGAGCTCATGTCCTGCTGTCCATCATAAAGCTATGTTTACATTGCCCTAAGGTGAGATGATTCCATAGAAGATCTTGCTCTAGAACCAGCACATGGCTGAATGTTGTGTCATCTTTATAAAGGGTTTCTGAAGGAGGCAAAGTGAGGCTTATGAACCTAAGGAAATGGCAGAAAGAACCATGGTGGTAGCATCATGCTTTGGGATTGTTTTATTTATTTTTTTGTCACCATTGGGTTTAATGATTTGAAATTCCTCCAAGTTTTCTTTAAATCTTCACCTCATATTAACAACTATTTAAACATGGACAAAAATGCTATTGTAACATCACAGTGATCCACAACGCATTCCAAAAGTGGGTTTGGAAGAGATAAAGACGGCAATTAAGTCCTGGATTGATCTAAATCTCAACTGTACTGTAATTTGTGGATCAGCTCTAAAAGTCAGCTCAGCAGCAAACTAACCAACTGAAATAAATTCAACTTATTCTGCCAATTGGGCAGGTTTAAGCATCCAGACAGAATTAATTTGCAACTAAAAGCATGGGCTGAGTTTTAATTAGCAAAGGAACATTTGGCCACATATCCCTGTTGGTTCGTGTATATATCTGAGCTTGTTCTTCCATTGCTTGCCTTTAGAATGGATTGAAACTGTTTATTGTGTAATTATTGAGAACAATGCAGAAATATGATTTGAATAAACTTTAAAACCATTATAGAATTCACCTCCATTAGAATTGATTATCTCATTTATCTTGACAAAGGATCAGTGTGTAAACAGGTTTGGTATTATTTGCACAACTCCTCTGGAAGCCGTTATTGATTGGCCCATCTGTGGTGGTTCAGTAACAGCCCTGCATCTGCTCCACCTCCCTAAAATAACTGCAAGCGAATGCCATCGGGGGCTGTTGATGCCTCTTCCATGCAAATGAAAATGATCCATAAGAGGAATGGAGCCAGTAAAGCCTTATTTGACATCAGTGCAGATCAGCTGCTGTGTGTACTTTTCTTAAACATAAGAAGAAGAAAAAAAATCAGCTCTTAAAAAGATCAAGATATGTTTGTGTTTGTGTAGAATACAGTGCACTTTTCTTTGTGTTTTCTTTTCTTAAGTTCTGTTAAGGTACGGCACTTTGAATTGTCTAGTTAGTGAAGTGTGCTATGCACACAAAAATACCTTTCCTAGAATAAATCTTTGCCTATGTGGTTAAAATAAATATAAACTACAGAATTATATTTATAGGGAGGGAAAGTTTTTATGGCTTAAATGTATAATTCTCAGAAGTGTTTAGTATTTTTTTTTTCTTATTATAAACACATATACTACATTTTAGACTTTTGGAAAATAAAACAAAAAAATACTCGAGATATCATAATATTTCAATAGAGTTTTGAGGTTCTCCTTCTAGTGTAAAAACACGTTTCACTTTGGATTGTATAATGAATTGAAATGTTAAGTATTCTAAAGAATAGTAAGGAAAAAGGCTTAAAAGAAGAGCAGTGAAGATTTTTGTTGTTGGAGGTTTAGATGCAGCATAAGACTCACTCTGTCGCCTTCACTTGATGTAAGAAATCATTAGCTAAAGCAAGCAGACACACTAACAAAGACATAAAAGCTAGAACAGATAGAGCAAGACCAGAGCTCATTGATTAAAGTTTAACCATCCATAGAGCTCAGACTTATGGTGTGAGTTATTAATCTCCTTGCTGACATGTCAGCAGCAAGCTAGATCAATTCCGTGTCCCTGCCACATAATTCAATCTGCCTACTACAGAGGTGACACAGATACAGTAATATGGAAATAATTTGAGCCTCAAATACTCAGAATGAGATTTCAACAAGATAGCTTGTAGATTTAAGTAGATCGAAGCTTAAGGCTGTAAACTCTTTAGTCCCTCATTAGCTTGTGTGTCAGAGCACCTACCTGCTTCAAGTCGGGCCATTCCTTTGGTAATATATGATTGTGAATATCAATTTTCATCCTTCTTTTTACGACAAAGTTGGTATTAAGGTCTGAATCACAAGCTATCGTTAGAATCTCTGCTAAAACTCTCTCCGTACCCTCAACTGGAAAACAGGGACAAGCAGGTGAATGACTGCTGGAACTTGCTGGTCATATATTACCTAATCTACTTAAAGTCCACTCATTTATATGGCAGGGCTGCAATATCACATCCATTGTCATGACTTTTCTTATCTGCACTGTAATGTTTAGAAATGTATTTTGCATTGAAGTAAATCAGTTTAATTGTTTGAAACGTAGCTTTTAACTGTGGGCCTTAATTTGTGTAATCAGGTATATCCTCTTAGGAATTGTATACCTAAATCTTCCCTTATTTCAGAAAAACTAGATAGAGAAACAAAGTACAAGAAAAAAAAATCCAATATTTTAAATTCAAAAAAGAAATTAATGGATTTTATAACCTAAAGCAATACACAGAACTTCAAAAATATACAGTTATATAAGTCTATTTGGTTTTCTTAGAAACAAGATTCTAATCTTTTGTATAAAAAAGCATGTGTCACATGGATTGAGCATGAGAAAATGCAGGACAAGCAGTAGAACTTAAAGTCCTGTCACAGCTTTAAAGTATATGTGTTGCTTCTGATGGAGAGTCTGGGCCGTAAATTCTTTGAGCGGCCAGTCTAAACTCATATCTTGCAAGGGCAAGTCTGAAAATTAGGAAACTAAATATGTATGTATGTATGTATGTATGTATGTATGTATGTATGTATGTATGTATGTATGTATGTATGTATGTATGTATGTATGTATGTATNTATGTATGTATGTATGTATGTATGTATGTATGTATGTATGTATGTATGTATGTATGTATGTATGTATGTATGTATGTATGTATAATCTTGACCTCTTTATTCAAGTAAAAGTGAAAAAGTACGTGCTCCTAAGTATAAAGTATAAAAGTATACAGTAACCTTTAAAAAAAAACAGCCAGATGCCACAATATGAATTGTAAGCTCAATTTTTCGATTATATCTAAAAAGTTCTTTGAGATGGGCCAAGGATGAGGGAGGTCTTGTTGGTCTCCATCTCCGTTTGCCGATACGCTCTCGCCTGTGTCCGACCTTTCAGTCGTTTCAAAATTTTTTTTCTGAATCCATCATTGTAGAAATTTTGATGATTTCCTTTAGCTAAACAATGTATTTTTGCATGTATGTACAGTATGTATGGAGGGATGGGTTTTCTTTTCTTTTTTTCTGCAAATGGTTTTTCATAAATTCCTTAAAATATCTCATTGGGCTGTATTATATTTTGTACACATTCTTTTAATTTTTTTTCTTTGTACTACATCAGCATTCTATGCCGAGAGTCAATGAAAATAATCAATTAAGTCTTGTCCAATTTAATTAAATTCAGTTTATTTATATAGTGCCAAATCACAATACATGCCATCTCAAGGCACTTTATAGAGATAATTCAAACAGATTATACAGTCAAATTAATTCAAAGTTTTCTATCTAAGGAAAACCAGTTGATTGCATCAACTCGCGCGCACAAAGGCAATCCCTCACACCAAACACGCTTATAGCAACAGTGGAGAGGAAAAACTCCCTTTTAACAGGATGAAACCTCCAGCAGAACCAGGCTAACTGTGAGCGGCCATCTGCCGAGGCGGACTGAGGTTCAAGGAGACAGAAGCAGAGACACAAAAAGAAGCAGAGATACAACAGATGACTGTTAACCAGCTCCACAGGCGGCCCTGTCCAGGAAACACACAGCCAGGCAGATGAGCTTAGAGCCAGCTTCAACGTCAGAGGACGAAGGGAGCACAGCACATCCAGCCAGTCACAGTCAGGGAAACAGCTCTACACTGAAAAATAGGACAAGCTAAAACATCTAAAAAAAAAAAGGGGGTTGATGGCAGCAGCACAGCTGATATTTCTCTTCAGGAAGGTGTCACAGCCAAACAGGAACAGGCCAGATGAAGAAAAACCAGAGAGGTCATAATGTTAGAGATTGAACTATCAATTTCTGCAGAGTCGGAGAATAGAGATAGAATGAAGCAGAATGGTGTAAAAAGGCAGTCTACGCCTATAGCAGCATAACTATAGAGACACCTCTGGATAACCTGAGCCACTCTAACTATAAGCTTTATCAAAAAGAAAAGTTCTAAGCCAAGCCTTAAAAGTAGACAGGGTGTCTGCCTCACGGACTAAAACTGGTAGTTGGTTCCACGGCAGAGGAGCCTGATAACTAAAAGATCTGCCTCCCATTCTATTTTTAGAAATTTTAGGAACCACTAGTAAACCTGCAGATTGAGAGCGAAGTGCTCTGTTAGGTACATAAGGAAGAATCAAATCTCTGATGTAAGATGGTGCTTGGTCATTGAAAGCTTTATATTTAAGAAGGAGGATTTTAAATTCTATTCTAGATTTAACAGGAAGCCAATGAAGATAAGCTAGGATAGGAGACATATGATCTCTGTTTTTAACTTTTATAAGAACTCTGGCTGCAGTATTTTGGATCAGCTGAAGGCTTTTTACTACTGTTAATTGACTTCCTGATAGCAAAGAATTACAATAGTCCAGCCTTGAAGTAACAAATGCATGGAAAAGTTTCTCAGCATCACCTCTGGACAGGATATTTCTAATTTTTGCAATATTCTGCAGATGAAAGAAGGAAATTCTAGAAACCTCTTTGATTTAAATGACAGGTCCTGATCAAAAATAACACCAAGATTTTTTATTTTATTGTTTGAGCTCAATTTAATCCCATCCAAATTAAATGACTGACTAATCATCTTCTTTTTCAAAGACTCTGGTCCAAAGACTATAACTTCAGTTTTTTCTGCATCAGGAGCAGGAAATTAAGAGTCATCCAGGTTTTTATGTTTTCAAGGCTTGCTTATAATCTATGTAATGAATTAGCTTAATCTGGATTTATAGACAGATATAGCTGAGTATTATCAGCATAACAGTGGAAATTATTCCCATGCTGTCTAATAATTCTACCGATTGGGAGCATATATTTAGTAAGAGAATTGGTCCTAGCACTGATCCCTGTGGTACTCCAAAGGTAAACCTGGCACATGAGGAAGATTTATCATTAACTGAAAAAAAATGAAATCGATCAGATAGATAAGATTTAAAATAGTCTAGTGCTGTTCCTTTAATTCATACAAATATTCAAGTCTTTCTAAAAGAATAATATGATCAGCAGTATCAAATGCTGCACTGAGAGCTAACAGAACAATGAGGATATCAGTAGCGACTTTCTCCAGAACCGTTTCAGTGCTATGATGAGCTATAAAGCCAGACTGAAACTCTTCTAAAAAGTTAATTATGGTGTCAGTGGTCTCACATTTGTTTGGCCACTATTTTCTCACAAATTTTAGACTAGAAAGGAAGATTGGATACATGTCTATAATTGACCAAGTCATCTGGGTCAAGAGACAGTTTTTGTTAAGTAAAGGTTTAGTTACAGCAACCTTAAAAGCCTTTGGTAAATATCCCTGTAACAGAGATAGATTAATCACATCTAAAATGGAGGAGGAGATCAAAGGGAAAACTTCCTTAAAGAAGCTGTTTGGAACTGGATCTAACATACAAGTTGAAGATATAAATGAAGTCAATAGTTTTGCTAACTCTGAGAGTTCATCTGGATCAAAGCAGTCTAAACCCAGTTCAGATTCCATGACTACCTCAGACACTGCCTCAGTTTCCAGAGATAAACCATTAATAGTTAGAGGGGTGCTAATTATCTTATTTTTAATTAATCAATCTTATTTATAAAGAATCCCATAAAATGATCACTGCTAAGAACAGGTGGGATGGACAGTTTCACAGAGTTATGGCAATGGGTGAGTTTGGCAACTGTATTAAAAAGATATCTAGGATTATTCTTATTCTCCTCTAAAACGTAGGATTCCCGTAGGCATGTAGAGCGCCATTTTCTCTCCAGTTTCCTAGCATTTTGCTTCAGAGTGTGCAGCTCTGGATTAAACCAGGGAGCAAGCTTTCTATTATAGTAGTTTTTCTTTTTCAAAGGGGCTGCATTGACTAAGGCAGTACGCATAGAACCAGCAACCCCATCAACAAAATTATCAACCTGTGAAGGGGAATAAACTGAACTTTTGCCCTCTGCAGCACTGCTCAGCGACACAGAGGAGAAAGAAAGTGAAAAAGATTCTTTAAAATGTATAACTGCACCAGCTGATAATGATCTGTTAGAGTGAAACCTTCTTTTGGGGGAGGAGAACTCTGTTAAATAATCCTGAAGGTTATTAGAAAGTGGTCAGAAAGGACAGGGTTGTGAGGAAATACTGTTATTTCTTCACATTCAATGCCATATGTCAGCACAAGGTCCAGAGTATAAATATGAGAATGTGTGGGACTATTCACCTTTTGAACAAAGCCAATAGCATCTAAGATAGCATTAAATGCTGCACTTAAGCTATTACCTTCAATGTCAGCATGGATGTTAAAATCTCCCACTATGATGACCCTATCAGTATTCAACACCAACCACTTTTAATCGTTTTAACTTTTTCCCCAATTGGAGGTTATTTTAATTTTATTTATTTTAATTTTATTTAACCTTTATTTTACCAGGAAGTCCCTTGAGATAACATCTCTTTTTCGAGGGAGACCTGGCCTTTTACCTAGATTATCAAGATTTTCGTGGGCAAGACACTGTCTGGATGGAGTAATGTGGGGTAACAGTACAGAAGCAGCAGAGAGGTGTGTTAATTAAAATAATAACACAGATTCTTCATGGTTTTTTAAGGTGAATGTGTCATTAATATTTTTGCTTTTTTAGAGAAAAGGTTTAGTTTTGAATATGTAATACTTAGTATAATGAAAAAAAACAACAGATATTCAAGAGGGGGGGTGAAGTACAAAGCTGAGCAATTTATGATAGCTTAAAATGGATAGAATGTCAGATGGTAGAGATGAATTATGATTATTTTATTTTGGAATGATTAGAGAACATTTGATATCAACCTTAATTTGGAAAGATTGTTGTGACATTGATAATTATCGAGAAGCTACAGCTAACATGAATAGATAGCTAATAAACTGAAACTCA